ATATCCATTAGCAATCACTCCCTATTTACCCCTACTCCTACTCTCTGGCAACTATTAATCTACTTTCTGTCTATGTAGATTTGCCTATTAAACATTTCATATAAATGGAATCATACAATATGTGGCCTTTTGTGTCTGGCTTCTTTTACTTAGCATAATGTTGCTTTCAAATTACATAGGGCTTTCAGTTCTACACATCTAGTTTTTAAATGTCTTGAAAATCACAATGACTTTATACTCTTACTGGTAAATATTTCAAGACACAATATATATTTAAGGCAAAGTTCACCATTAAAAATAATAAATAGAAATCCATATTTACAATGGTCTTCATAATAATTTCTGATTTTTTTGACAGATTTCCCATGCTGAGGTATCAGCTCTATCATATTCTTATGATTTGCTTGTTTATATTATTAATATTATTTTCAATAAGAAATTTGTGACGGCTGGGTTAGTTAATCTAAATACTATGGTCTATAAATCTATTTGGCTAGTCATTATGAAAAATTACATCACAACGCCAAAAAAGCGCCCTTTTTTTTTTTGAGACAGAGTCTCGCCCTGTTGCGCAGGCTGCAATGTAATGGCGCAATCTCGACTCACTGCAACCTCTGCCTTCCAGGTTCAAGCAATTCTCCTGCCTCAGCTTCCCCAGTGGCTGGGATTACAGGCGCGTGCCACCAAGCCCGGCTATTTTTTTGTATCTTTAGTAGAGATGGGGTTTCACCATGTTGGCCAGGCTGGTCTCGAACTCCTGATCTCATGATCCGCCCGCCACGGCTTCCCAAAGTGCTGGGATTACAGGCATGAACCACCGCGCCTGGACTTTTTTTTTTTTTTTTTTTTTTTTTCTTTTTTTTTTTGAGACGGAGTCTTGCTCTGTCTCCCAGGCCGGAGTGTAGCGGCGCTACCTTGGTTCACTGCAACCTCCACCTCCCTGGTTCAAGCAATTCCCCTGCCTTAGCCTCCTGAGTAGCTGGGATTACCGGTGCACACCATCATGCCCGGCTAATTTTTTTGCATTTTTTTAGTAGAGACAGGGTTTCACCCTGTTGGCCAGACTGGTCTCAAACTCCTGACCTCAGGCAATCTGCCTCAGTCTCCTAAAGTGCTGGGATTACAGGCATGAGCCACTGCGCCTGGCTATCATCTTTTTATATATATTAAATAATGCATTTAAACAAACGAAAAAAAATACAAATATATATAGATTTTCTCCCCACAGCTCATGGATGGTTTTGCACATCCACTGAAGTATGCACTTACTGGTTTAGAAACCACTGCTCTAACGAACATACTAATTACATCATCCCCCCCTCCACAGGCTCTGGAATCAGGATGCCCAAATTCAAATACTAACCCTTCCGCTTACTAGCTTTGTTACCTTGCGCACACTATCTGACATCTCTGTCACTTAATTTCCTAATCTAAAAACAGGGATAATAATATCTTTTAGGATTTCTGTGAGGACAAAATGAGCTATAATACATAGACTGCTTAGAAAAGCACATGATAAATAATAAGTGCTCAAAAAATGATGGTCATTATTACGTGGTTTTTTTTTTTTTTTTTTTTTGGCTAAAGGCAACTTACACCTAGTAAAAAGAATGCATATATAATCAGGCCACCTTGCTCACCAGGGTTTCTTAATCTTTTCATTAATAAGCTACTGAATTAATAAAGAAGGTATATGGCTCCTTCCTCCTCTGGCCATACATTCTCTTTGGCCATCACTACTTTGTAGGCCTCCTTGGCTCTTTCTCTTAAAATTCCCAATTAATACTTTGATAATATCATGTTTCTTATAAATATATATGCAAATATACTTATAAAGCCATTTTGATTTTCAATACATTTAAAAACTAAGTATGTACAACAATAAGACAGACCCCTATCATTTGAAAGCAACATTATGCTAAGTGAAGACGCCAGACACAATTTAGAATAAGTGATCATAATATGTGGAAATTTCATCTTCAGGGAATTACCTCTTATGCTTAAAAAATTTCTATCAAGTACTATATTTCTTTGCCTCATCTTCAGGGGCTAGGGTTACAGCAAAACACAGAACATTTATGGACAACCAGGGACCAAGCACTGGTATCATTATCAATTACTTCCCAAGCTGATACTAAGCACTTTGAAGGGAGGAATTTTGTCCCATTTACTCTGAATGTCTCTGTACCCTTTCAGTACCTAATGTACCATTAGATAGTCAAGGCAATAAACATTCATTGAACAGACTTATTACATTTGCTTCAAATTCTTCACACACCAAATTTTTGTCCACACTCTCAACCTTACAGAACTTAGAAGCTTTAATATCTTTGATGAGCCTTATGGTGGAAAAAGTCCCAAGTTGTTTTTGGATGAAAACTTGGGCCCTTGTGTTATCATTCAGCCCATTTCTGTTCAGAAGACAGTATTTATCACATTTTGTAGTTAAACATTTATTTGCATGATTATTCAGTCAATGTATACTTCACTCAATTAACTCATGATAACTCAGACAATGTGGTTTTTTTTGTTTCCGTTGTATCCCTAAAACCTAGCATAGAGCCTGGCAATTGATTTGCTCAATCATTATTTGTTGAATGAATAATCTATTCAGGAATATATCCTTGTTAAAGCTTTTCATCTATGTGACCATGTCAAATCTTCCTTTACAACAAAGCAATTAAGTCTGTCCTTGACCAGCAGCAGTGTAACCTCAAACTCACTGATGCTTAATATTCCTCAAAAAACTAAGAAAAATATAGTATTAATTCATCCATCCATTCGTTTATTCAATACATAACTGTACTCCTTCTATCATGTATCAAGTACTGTTCTAGATGCTTGTCTCTGCCCTGATGTTCCTTGCATTCTATAGGGGGAAGGTAGGAGGAAGGATACAGTAATACCAAATAATTAATAAATACCATGGAAAAAAACTAAAAAAGTTAAGGGGGCCAGAGAATGCTGGGATGCAAGGCATGATTGAAGTTTGCTATTTCATAGAAAGTAGGTAAGAAAGGACTCTTCGCTAAGGTCAACACTTGATTAAATAGAGGAACAGCAAGTGTGAACGCCCTGTCTGGCAGTATGGTAAATCTATTCAATCTCTACCAGTATTTATTAACTGGGGGTGATACTGCCCTCAAGAAACATTTGGAAATAGGAGGAGGTAGGTATTTTGGGTTTTCACATTGATATTAAATAAGATAGGTGAGGGGTGGGATGGACCCAGTAACCTACAATGCCCAGGAGAAGTTCAAAGAATTGAAAGAATTGAGCTGCCCAAAATACCCATTAAATTTTTGCTGGGAATTACAGCATTTTTGGTTTTGCTTTTAAATTGCTCTCATTATATTATCAAATGTCAATGAATAAAAGACTGCATAAATTATTTATGATGTAATCATGTAACGAACAGGATGGTATGTTGTGTAAATTTAGCTTATCTTAATTCAACTATATAATTTAAATCTCATTTTCTCCAATATGCTGATTCATCAAATTTCATATGAGATAGGCTAGGTCTCAATTTAAGAATTCAGGTGACAGTTATTCCACAACGGATTCTTCAACACAAACACCTTGGATGGGAATTGGCATACATTAGCCATCAAATCAATTAGAGAAACCTTTCCCCACTCTAATGTGGTAACAGTCCCCATTTCCCACTTTCTCTGACTGACAGTCATCTCAGGTTTTAAAATCAGCTCAAAAGATACCTTTTCCATGAGGTTTTTCCTAACTTTCCCAGTTGTTCACTACTCAGTACCGCCATAGCAACGTGGTCTCTTCTCCACAAGCACGCTTATCAGACATACAGGCTTTTGTTTACCTGTCTCACAAACTAAACTATAAGCTCTTCCGGGAAAACAACTACCTTACCCATCCATCTTTGTATCTCCGGCGCCTAGTACAGTGCCCAGTGCCTAGCAGGCGTTCAATTAATGATTGCAGAAGAAATGCAGAATGAATGACCTCAAAGTTAAGCAAAGAATATACCAAACTCAGAAATGTACGTTTAAAAACCTAAGACTCTAGAAATCGGTTGCATGAGCTGGGTTAAAGCAGAAAATAGGACCGGAATGCTGGTAGGTAGAGAAATCTCCACCTGACTTTTTCAAGTACGTCCTGAAAAGTATAAACTTCAGTGTTTCGACGCAACATTGTCCACATGCAGGAGTAAAGACAACACTTATCGTGGTCTCTTCCTACCACGAGATCCCGAAACCCGTCCCCCACCCCAAATTTGGGAAATCTCACTTTGGAGATCCCAGGACCCCAAGTTCCCTAGATAAGGCTCTCACCTTCCCATTCGTGGGAGGCTCCTGGATGTAGATGTTGCTCATCCTGGTCAGTACAAAGGACTCTGCTCCTTATGAGGGATTAGAGCGGACGGCCGGTCACTAAAGCTGTCCGCCTAGGAGTACACTCTTTCTTAAGTCGAGTGATGCAGGAAAACTTCAGTTTGTCAATATCACGCAAGACGGGGACACCAAACACTACCCTTGCCTAAAGGAGCGCCTCACGGACGCCGCCATGTTGTTACCGGACCCGAGCACCGCTAACCCTGAGAAGGGTTATTCCAGTGTACTCCAGGGAACGAGAGAAGTCTGTAAAGTTATTATAGCTTAATGTAATTTGTATTACAATATTAGAAGGGACACTTCATAAGTCTTGGCTGTGTTTACACTACTCGCGTGTGCAGATCAAACTGACCCCCCCCCCAAAAAAACTATCAGTAATGGTTCGGACCATGTGTCTTCTGCACTATGACTCGTCCGGAAACTGCATCCGCGTCTACTGGTTCTGCTGCCGCTAGAAACGTACAGGGCCTTCCTCACCGTAGCGAAGGTGCTGCTGCGCTGGGGGAAGGAAAACGGCGCTTTGGCTGTGCCTTGTTCTCGCAGCTGGCGGGAAGCAAGCGCCACTTCGAAAGCCGGAGGCTCAAGTGACCCCTTACCATCGTCATGGCAGTCCCAGGTAAGGAGCAGTTACAGGGCCTCTGCGTCCGAGATCCGAAGGGAGCACAAGGGAGGGTAGGGTAGGGTGCGGGGTGTGGGGATCAGTGCCCATGGGGACTTAGGCGGAGGCCTTAAAATTCACAGGTTTGTTTTGTTTACATGAAAAAGTTTACACTCCAAAGATACACTCTGAAGGAAAGAAAGTAACTGTCTTCCCCCAGGAGCCAAGCCCCAGCTGCATGGGATTACAGGGAAAGTGTATTGTGGAAGGGAGGGAGGAGGGGGAGACTGTAACTGTGGGCCTAAGGGGGCGAGCAGCCAAGAAAAACTACCTTAACTGTGGTATGGTTTAAAACTAAAATTTGAAGTGGGAACACTTGGCCGACCCAGGTAACCAGAGGCGTCGTCTGTCCTAGAAGTCGCTAGGACCCACCGGGTGTCCCGGTTCTACTCCTAGCTCTTCCTGTTGTATGTAGCTGCTCCGTGGCCATAGATTGGTCGTTTTGTGCTTCTGGGCCTCAGTTTCCTTATAAAAAGAAGGAGCTTTGTTGAATTATATATAAGATTTATTCTAACTCTCAAATTCTGTGTCCAGAAGTTACTGACCTAAAAACGGTGAACTCTGCAGAATAATTACTAAAAGATTTTCTCTCCTCAACTACCAGCTTACTTGGAAGTTCTAGTAGCTGAGAGCGTCTCCTCAAACTGGCTTTGCCACTGCAGAACAGTGGTTGCAGGAGACATTTTCAGAAATATACACTCCTACACCCCACCTCCCAACTTGGAAATTCACAGTGCGCCTTAGTAATAGAAAAGATTCTGAGAATTACTATGGTTCAGAGCCCTAACTTTGTTTAAACCTGCCCTTCCCAGTATTATTTGACCAGATTCTTTGTTCTGTGGCAGCCTTTTTGAACATCTTTCTGCAGATAGCTGTTACTGGAACACTGTGCTTTTGTACTAACTGCAGTTTGCGAAGGAGTACATCTGGAGCTGTGAGAGAGGAAATATATACTCTTTATTAAGCCTACTGTGTGCCAGGCACTGGTACTAGGCATTGAAAATACAGTGGTGAGCAAGGTAGACATGGTTACGCTTCACACAGAACTTATAATTTAGCAGTGAAGAGAGAGAAATTTATACAAAGTGGGACAAGTGCCATGACAAGGAAAATACAAGACCTTAGGAAGCACAAAGTAAGGCCACCAGACACTCAGGATGGGCAGAAGGACTTTCCAAAGGATGTAGCACTTAGGAGGTCATCTAAATTGTAAGAGGGGTGGCTTGAAGGGAGAGGATAGTGCAGTTGGAGGAACTGGATGCGTAAAGGAAGAGGAAATATGTGAGAAGAGGAAATGGAAGATGTTTTCTATGGACGGAACTCAAATACAAATAGGAGATAAGTGAGAAATTAAGTAGAGAGATAGTAACTGTAGTAAATATTGACTAATATTTATGTGTCAAATATGTCAGATACTGTATCAAACATTGTATTCTATCTCATTTAATATTCATAACTACACTTTGAAATGAGTATTAATATTCCCATTTTACAGATGAGGACACTGAGGGACAAAGAAATCCAGTAATTTGTCTATTATGAGACAGCTGGTAAGCAAGAGGTCAGTCTGGTTCCTCTAGACTGTGCGCGTCATTCATTTTGCCGTTGTATAGGTTAACTTCCAAGGTAGCTTCCAGCTCTTTAAGGACCTGTAGACCATGAGAAGAGGTTTGGCGTTATCCTACAAATGATAGGAAGCCATTTAAGGGTTTTAAAACAGATTCACATTTTGGAAAGATAATTCTGGCTAGAAAGTAGATTGGAGACAAAGTTTACCAGTTAGGAGTAATTCTGGTGAGTTATGATAATGTGTGGCTAAGATGTGGTCTCAACAGGTAAGGAGAGAAGCGGATAAATTGAAGATACATTTTTGATGGTAGAATCACTAGGAGTTGATGATTGATTCAATGTGGGTAAGTAAAAGAGGAAATGAGGTTTACCTGGGTTTTACTGTTAAGCAGTTGGGTGGGGCTATTTACTGATATGACAACACCTCACAAGGGGCAGGGGTTAAGGGGATGATGACATCCAATTTGGGGCTTGTTGTGTTGAAGTTAGTCAGACATAGGAATACAAATAGTTAATAGTAAGAGATATAATTTGTAGCTCAGGAAAGAAGTCAAAGACAATGATTTGGGTGTTATCCACACACATAATAGGAGGTAAGGCTATGGGAGTGGAGCACTCTGCTTAGATGGTGTGTAGAATGTGAACGGAAGGTCTGTGGCTGAAGCCTGGTCAATATCTAAGAGGCCAGCCGCGAAAGATAAACCTACACGGTAGATTGCCTAGGCATCCTGATAGGCCAAATCAGCTCTGGTGATCTTTGTACCACACAGCTGCGCTCAAAGTTGACCTGTTGTCATAACTGCCCATTTCATTACTTGAGCAAGCCTTTTGGGCACCTGTGTGATATGGGCACTCTGGAGGAAACAGTGCCATAGTCTGTGCACTCATAAAACTTTAAGCAGTATATGAAAATGTGCTACTTAAGAAAGGGGACAAAAGTGATTTTTTAAACCCTTATTAAAATTCTCTTAAACTTAGACCAGTGTTATAGATATGTTAACCTTCTTTCAATTCAAAATAATGCTTAAAAGTATAATAATGTAAAATTGTGCTATTAAGCTAGACGATAAGGTATAGATAAACTGTTTAAACCTAGCAAAAATTGAGATAATAGGTGTGACAGTGCTGTAAAAGTACAATGCAAGTGTCATTAGAAAATACAGATACAGAAAATCATAAGATAATTTCTTGGATGATCGATCCAGACAGGGTATTAAAGGAAAATAGGACTAATCTAAACCTTTCAAGGTGATCATGAAGGAGGACAAGTATTATGTTATGCTCTTTAATTTTAGGTTTAATGGATTCAGTTTGGCATTTCTTGGGGTGGTCCTGCTAGTGATTATGACAAGGTATGATTATAAAGTAACAAGGCTGCTTTCTGCAAACCACACATAAAAATCAGCCTTGTCTGTTTTATGATCATGTGCTTCACCTGTGTTTTCATAGCATTGTGTATAAGCTTATACCATTGTGTAGGTAATACAATGAAATGTAGGCATTTAGGAAAATCTTACTCTTAGTCGTTATTATAGAAATAATATTTGATCACAGGTTTCAGTGAAATTTACTTTATTTGAAAAACTGCTTTTCCTGTTCACAGTTGTTGAAATTGCCTCCAACATTCATGTCAGTGATTCACCACTCTCCATGAAGAGTTGAACTGGCACAAGTGGCAATGTATGTTACTGATGTAGTTGGCACAAAACTGTTTTCTTGTTATCTCCTTCACTGAAGCCTATAGCCAAGGTAGGGAGTTTTTCTATGGCCAAGTTAACATTTCAGTCTGGCACATCACAGTGAATAAGATTTTTAAAACACATTATGATAGTATCTTAGTAATAGAACAATTCTAAATTACATCCAATTGCTCTTTATTCCTAAACTAGACTATAGGTAATTTCTTTTCTCTCTAGTCTGTATTGCACATTGCTGCTAAAATAATTTTCCCAAATCATATATCTGATCCTGCCATTGCTGGGAGGCATGAACTTAGTTCTTCACCCCATCTGTGAATTTTGTAATTCTCTTCAAGCCACTTAACCTTTTGGAGATTCAGTTTTTGTGTCTCTATAATAGAGTTGAAGGCTAAGGTTTCTTAAGTTTCTAACGTGTTAAAATGCCAAATCTCCCCATCTCTCTCTGCAAGAATGAAGTGCACACTCCCGAGCCTGACTAAATCACTGTTTCTACTCTTTCCTTCCACCACTCCCCTCATGCATTCTACAATCCTGCAAAAATCTGATTTGGCCAGTTATTCTGTGAACCTCTCAAGTGCTTTCCTACCTGCGAGCCTTTGTTATTACCTCCTATTTTGCCTGTAACTGCCTGTGGGAAGCTTTCCTGATCTCTTAGCTGAAACTCTTGCCTGCCACTTTTTCATAGTTACTAAATAGAGCTCTGTGTCTTTTATGGAACCTGGCACATTCTGTCATGGATTACAGCTGTGAGTGCATTACCATAGGTAAACTAGTATAGTGTCGCTTCCCATGGGCTCCATGCAGCCCAAGATGACTGTGAATGCAGCCCAACACAAATTCGTAAACTTTCTTAAAACATTATGGGATTTTTTTGTGTGATTTTTTTTTTTTTTAAAGCTCATCAGCTATTGTTAGTGTTAGTGTATTTCAGTGTATTCTATAGTTTATACCCTCATAAAACTTTAAGCAATACATGAAAATACTACTTAAGAAAGGGGACAAAAGTGATTTCTAAGCTCTTATTAAAATTCTCTTAAACTTACACCACTGTTAGAGATATGTTAACCTTCTTTCAATTCAAAATGATGCTTCAAAGTATAATAATGTTAAATTGTGCCATTAAGTTGGATGGCAAGACATAAACTGTTTAAACCCAGCAAAAATTGAGATAATAGGTGTGACAGTGCTGAGATAATAGGTGTGACAGCGCTGAGATAATAGGTGTGACAGCACTGAGATAATAGGTGTGACTGCGCTGTAAAAGTACAATGCAAGTGTGGCCCAGTGAAGCCAAAAGATTGAATATCCCCGTAGGGGCTTGATTCATCCCTATGGCTTCTCTAACATGGAGTTCAAAGTTATACCCATGATAGGTAAATAATGAATAATTAGAGGGTTGATTACTAGAGGGTTGAGTACTATTTCTGCTGCTCAGCAGCAGATTTCTGCTCAGCAGCAGAAATAGTACTAAACAGATTAAACTAATACAGTCTTCATTCTGTTTCATTAGGTAATTAAATTTCTGTCTCAAACAAATTTCTCTGTCTCTTCTTTTTTTATTTTTTATTTTTTTGGGACGGAGTGTTGCTCTGTCACCCAGACTGGAGTACAGTGGTGCTATCTTGGCTCACTGCAGCCTCTGCCTCGCGGGTTCAAGTGATTCTCTTGCCTCAGCCTCCTGAGTAACTGGGACTGCAGGCACATGCCACCATACCCAGGTAATTTTTGTAGAAACAGGTTTTACCATGTTAGCCAGGATGGTCTAGATCTCCTGACCCTGTAATCCGCCTACCTCAGCCTCCCAAAGTGCTGGGATTACAGGCATGAGCCAACGCACCCAGCCTCTCTGTCTCTTCTTACACCGTTTTTCTTCACGGATTAGTTGTACTTTGTGAGGCATGTAGACTAAAGAATTTTATATGTTTCATATCAATATAAAACTCATATCAGTAGTTTAAACAGCTCTTTGGTTGGTTTACTGTTTCTCCCTTTGGAGTCAAATGATTATGAAGGCATTTTTTAAATTTTAATTTAATTAATGTATTTATATATTTATTTGGAGACAGAGTCTCGCTCTGTCACCCAGCTGGAGTGTAGTGACACAATCTCAGCTCACTGCAACCTCCGCCTCCTGGGTTCAAGTGATTCTCATGCCTCAGCCTCCTGAGCAGCTGGGATTACAGGCGTCCACCACCACGCCTGGCTAAGTTTTGAAATTTTAGTAAAGATGGGGTTTTCACCATGTTGCCCAGGTTTGTCTTGAACTCCTGGCCTCAAGTGATCTACCTACTTCAGCCTCCCAAAGTGCTGGGATTACAGTTGTGAGCCACCACACCTGGCCTATGAAGGCATTTTTAATGGGCTATTAAGACATCTGCTATTTCGGAATACTTGCATTGAGAAACTCATTTAGCTTGTTTTTTAAATTATCTTATTAATTAATGAAGTATTAATGTTTTAGTAAAAAATGTCTACTTTCTACTGATTTTTCTACTTTGACTTTCGTACAATATCTGGAGTCCCAAAGAAAGGAGTGTATCTATGAATTTTTAATATAAATGGTATAAAAGTAAAATACTTGGAATTTTACTTTGCATCAACTTAAGCAGAACATATGTATTATATAAATAGATATTACCACTTATAAAATGTGGCTGCAGTTTGAATTTTAAAAGCAGAAGAAACTGAAATTGTCTTTATAGGTCCCCAGATTGTAACTAAAACCGTAATGGAGTAACCAAATGTAAAACTTGTTACCAAACAAAATTAATCTAATTGACTCTAATCCAATTAAAAATGAAAAGAATGGATCCTGTGACAGAAGTAATTGCAATTTCTAATTAGTACTAAAAAACTTAGCTACTTAAGCTGTATATGTTTAAATTTAAGCGATTGTAAAAAATATTTTAATGAAAATGTCTGGCTTCCCTAAATTCCAAAATAGACAATAAGAAAAATACAATATTAAGTTCTAAGCATCACTGTTAAAGTTCCCAGTGACTAAGTTGTTGACTTCGGAAAGATAGGTGTTGTAAAATTTCAAGGAAATAAATTAAAATCAAATATGAGATTCCTTTGGTGACCACTGACGAATCTCAAGCAACTGTTGAGGACTCCATCTTTCTCTCAATTTTTCTCAGTCCTTTTATTTTTGCTCCTTCTTTTTGGTTTTCTTAGTATTTTCTGTTTCTTCATTGCCTACTGTTCACTTTAAATTTTTTTTTCTTTTGTGCTAACTACTAAGATATAATTTACATGTTTTAAAAACAGCACAGATCACAAATGTTCAGCTTGAAGAATTTTGACAAATAAATTGAGTGTGTGTGTATATGCACACGCATATTTCTTAGCTGGCAACTGGGGTCCAGAAAAGTTGCCAGTTCCCAACTTCTGAAGTACAGTCATGCACCACAAAATGATGTTTTGGTTAATAACTGACTGCATATACAATGTTGGTCCCATAAGATTATAATACTCTTATTTTTACAGTATCTTTTCAATGTTTAGGTATATTTAGATACACAAGTACTCACCATTGTGTTACAACTGCCTGCAGTATCTATACAGTGACTTAGGAGCAATAGGCTATACCATAGAGCCTAGGTGTATATAGGCTATATCACCTAGGTTTATGTACACTGTGACATTGCCACAAGGACAAAATTTCTGTGTTGTGCCTCACAACACATTTCTCAGAATGTATCCGTGTCATTAAATGAAACATGACTGTATTTTCTTAAGCTTATAACCTCAAATCAATAAGTATTTGTTGAGCACCTCTTAGCAACTCTACATCATGGTAAGCACTGAGTTGTATTCAAAATTATGTGGCTACTTTAAGTTACTGAAAGATAAAGGACCAGCCCAATTACCTGATTCCTCCCACCACCACCCAAGTTGTTTAACAGAATACTAGATCCAGAGTAAGCCCTTAATATTTAGCAAGTATAAGAATGAAGACCTCTAAAATTTGTTCCTGACATCATGAGTTGATAAAATTTTATAGAAAGTCTGCAGTGTAGCCTCTCTGAAGAATTTACAAATGCAATCATTGCCTTTTGTCAGATAATATTTACTTGACAATTACTTTTCTTAGTGTTACAGTTTTGTTTGGGGGAGATTTCCAGATTGGTTTTTGAAAGGGTAATTTGATCACCTTTCACATTTTAAAGGTGCCAAAAGGTATATAGTGACATGTCTCTTAACTCTTTCTCCGTCTGGACTTAGTTTTCTTTCTTCAAGTAACCAATGTATATCCTTACAGAGGTATGTCTAATATCTTCTGTAAGAATTAAAGAAAGAGGTAAGAAACATGAAAAGATGGCTTGCCAGTCATGACAGATTTATTTAGAGAAAACAAACCTGAGAGGCGCCTTCTGGCCGAGTTAGGTGAGAGGCACACTTGTTTACAAACTAAAAGTTCTTAAAGATTCAGGGTGGGAGAGTTTATCAGAGGCTTGGACTGCTTCTCTGTCTCTTCCTTGTGCTTATCTGTGAGGGAGAGTCGTGTGTCAGTTCCCATACATCTTTCTGCAGCTGCAGGCATATCCCCCAAGTCTGCTTTTATCTTTTCTATCCTAGTGCACCTGAAGGGGAAGGAAGGTGCTTATTAAGGCCCACTATTTTACTGGGGCCCATTGTATGAGGGTGAAGTTTGGCAGTTGCTCAAGAGACTTCCCCTCCAACTCCCTTTGGGCCTGAGCTATCTTATCTGTATTTTATTGTCTGCTCTTTCTGGCTGCTTATAATTAGAAGAGAAGTAATTTCCTTGAAATGCGTGAGGCTAGAAAGGGAGCTGGAATTTAAAGTGGTGGTGTTTGTCTGAGAAGACAGTGCTCCTACTCTATCACCTTTTTTTAATACAAATGGCAACACGCCATTAACACTGTTATGCACCTTGCTTTTTTTCTTTTTACAATATATGTTAGCGATCATAACATCGTTAAATAAAGACCATCCCCATTATTTCATACCATAATTGATTTAGCCAGTTCCGTATTGACATTTAAATTATTTCCACTCTGTCCCTATTACAAACAATGCTATAGTGAATAACATTCTACATAAGTCAGTATGCATTTGTGCAAATAAATTGGGAGAACTAATTCCCAAATGTGAGACTATTGTATCAGAGAGGTATATACGCCTGTAATTCTGACAGGTTTTATCAGCTTGCTTTCCATAAGAGATAGTACTAATTTATGCTCCTGCCAGCAATGTATGAGAGGATGCCCCCCTACACTTCCTTCAACCTTTTCAATCTTTGCGATTCTGATAAGTGAAAATGGAATACTAGTATAGTTTTTAGTGTACATTTTACCTGTTGTTTTAAATAGGACTGAGCATATCTCCACATGTTTCAGAGTCATTTCTATTTCCGTTTCTGTGAACATCCTTTGCCCATTTTTTTCCTATTGGTTACTGGTCTTTTTTTTAATGATTCGCTGAGATGTATGCATAGGGATAATTGCCCTTTTTTGGTCCTGTGAGGTGCAAATATTTTTTCTCAAGTTTCCATGTGTCTTTTGAGTTTGCTTTTGGTGGTTTTTGCCATTCAGTTTTTTCTTCCAATGTCAAATTTATATGTTTTTATATAATGCCTTTTGGATTGCAGGTTATGATTAGAAAGGAAAATTTTGAGATGGGCACACTGTATTACTCTGGACAGCCTTAGCAAACTTCCAAAAG